CACAGAAGGCTCTAACTCCTGTAACACATGCATTGTGTCATTGGCATCAAACAGGCTAATGGGGAGCTATTCCACCTGCAGCTGGGCAGCTCAATGACCAACTGATACTGGAGAATTTCCTGAAGTCCCAAAAGGAGCCAAGTGCCTAACTTTGGTAGGAAACCATTGCTTCTCTTAATGTACTTGGCAATGCAAAAGCTATTGTTGTGTACTCAATGGCTGTTCCAATACTTTGCAGGATGTTGTGGGCTGAAGATCACATTTAGTTGCATTTCATCCTAACTGTTGTATTTTAAGCATATGTTGTATGCCCCTTTGGTGGGAAATGTCAGTGCCCCATAAGCTTGCTATGAAAGTCCCTGTCTTATTTGGAAGAAATAGATGAATCAGTGTGAAACTAGTCTTCATTAAATCAATGGACTCCTCCTGTAAAAGCAGGCAAATAATAATAAGCTATTAAGATTGAACATTGTTCTGACTTTCCTTAGAATAGCATGATTTGGGTTTTCTCTGCTTGTCTAGACTTCAGAGGATAGTTCTATATTTTGACATTCTGGGTAATCACAAAATGAGGCTTGCTTCTTTGTGACCTCTCAATGCCAGATGAGAGGAAGAGATGTGTGTTTCAGTGAGATAACAACATACCTGGTTGACATCTGGAAACCCTCTTCTAATCAAGGACCACTTCACAGAATTGTGTGTTCAAACCTCAAAATATGTTAATGCAATTAAGGGCTTACTTATGCTGAAGATTCTGCCTTTCCTATTTATAGACCAGATGGTGGGGTTTGGGGATATTTTCATTTTGTTTTTCCAGTTTTTTTGAGATATATTGTAAGAAAAATCCAAGAGATGACAGGCTGAGTGTGTGTTTGTGGATTAAAGAGAAAGAAGGAAAAACAAACCACCTACCCAGCTGCAGGGCAAATCCAAAAGAGAGGCCTCTTAGTAATGATTACACTTTGGAAAGACAGAGAAGTTCTGTGAGACATTGTCACAGATGGGGAAAACAGCTGTAGTTGCTTTGCTCCTTCCCATTTCATCACCACAGTCCATTTCTCCCTTACTGGCTGAGCCATGCATTTGGGAACTGGCTCTGTCAGTATGGTTACTGAGGGGGAAGGTTAAAAATAACCTCTGCTTTTCCTCAGATTATTTTTAACCTGGAATGCTTAAGCAATCTGGTTTACAGTGTTACTTGACAGACAGGTCAGGCCAATTGAGGGTACAGGCAGCTTTGGGCTGTGCTGTCAGGGCTAGCACGTGCTAGGATTGCACCTTTTGCATGCTTCATTTCTCTTGAGGTTTTTTAATGAAATATGAACACTGAGTGCATGAAATCTGAGTTGTGAGCCTGACTGTTCGTGGTGTTGCAGGCACATGGATCAGAAGGATTCCTCTCAGTGCTGAGGAAAGACAGGAGCACTAATGGTGCTTCAGTGCATTGCTTGATTTGAGAATCTGCTTGCAGGGAGAGAAAACAAGCCCTTCTGAGTGTAATTACAGTAGAGGCCTTTCCATGGATCATGGCAAGGGGATAGAGAAGATGGCATGCTCTTCCCAGGACCAGGGAACTTTCCTTTCAAAGGCTGAGTCACCACGTTCCCAGCCCACACTCAGCTGCACAGAGAGGGATGTGTGTGCCCAGTTCTCTCTGCCCCAGGCTGAATTGTACAGCCTAAGGGAGGGCACATGGCTGTATCCTTACAGCTCTCCTCCAGCATCAGCTCCCCTGAGGTCAGCTCAGCATCATGCCTTGCTCAAGCATGTGTCATTACCAAGTATGTGGAGGAAGCAGCTTTAAAGAAGGAAAAATCTCCCAAGTGGCTTGTCAGTTTACAATGAGTGTTCAGAAACTATTGGGAGTGTCACCCACATAGCAGTTGTCAGGATAACAGTAGTGGTGCATTGTCTCATTGGTGTATTTATTATTCTTCTCAATATTACTTGATCAGACAACAGTTGAATTGGTCACACCTTGTGGTAAGAATTAGAGTAGGTGATAAGCTAATGCAAGCTCTGATTTTTACTGGATCAGTTTTAGAACTTCCACATAGCTGGTCATGTCCTGGGCAGATTTTCAATCCTCAGTTTAGCTGCTTGTATGCAGCAGTTTGGGTGTATGGGGATTCATTTACCTTAGCAATAGAATAAAATATCTAAAGTCAAACCAATCGGCTCAAATGAGACACAGCTGCTGGGGAGAAAAGCAGAATAAAAAGGTGAATTCCTTTGAAAAATTGGCTTCTTTTGATAGCACTGGATTTGTATGAAACATATGCAAACACTTTTCTCCATTTCTCCTCCTCGCTCAGGTACAAGCCACAGCTGAGATACTAAATTGTCCCCTAGTTCTTCATCTAAAGCGTAGTTGAAACAAGAGGATTATTATCCACACATACCTCTTTTTTTAAAAAGTCACCTAAAGGCCAGTGACTTCTAACTGATTTTTATATTTTGAAATTCTTACATGAATAATCTTGTTATTCTGAGAGGAATTAATTAGCAAAATAACGTATCCAAGCATTTGACTGGGATCTAATGAGTCATTTCATCTTACATGTTGAGACAGAAACAAGAGGATCCTGTCTGACTAATACCTTGGATACATTAGTCTTGATGGTGTCAATTATTCAGGTAATTGCAATAAGAAAAATAACATTATACATTTTTTAAAAATGTAAGAATATTTTATAACAACCACTATCCCTAATACATAAGGAAAATAATAAGACATTAGAAAAAAACTTTTGTTTTTAATAATCAGAGTCAAAACTTTGTTACTTTGTCCCAGAGACAAAGTTCCCATAAATTTAGTTTGTTTGTTTCCCAGTTCTGAAAAGAAGGTATATTTTTATTTCTAAACCAAACCAAGAAGTAAGACATAATTTTGATAGAAAATTATTCTGCACCACCCTGGCCTTCTTTCGGCACATTTTTTTGCACATTTTTATGGTATGTCTTTATCTCCCCATATCTCTTAATTCCTGTTTAACTCCCAAAGCTTTTCTTGCTCTCCCCTTTAGAGACACAAACCCAGTTCCTGAGGTTTTATTTCTAGGGAATGTGTCACACTTGTAGGGAGGAAATACCAGATTCATGACAACATCTTGTCTATGCTTAGCAGGGTACAGCAGCCACCAGCACCTGATATGCATTTGATGACTTCAGGCTCTGAAGGTACCTTGCTTCAACCACTTGCAAAGACTTTTAGGATTTGGAGTGTGTTTCCCAGGGGAACTGCATTGTCCCTTCTTATTTGCACTCTCTCTGCTCACCTTTTGACATAATTCCTCTCAAAGTTTCTAATTTCTTTCGTAAGACCTACCAGCTGCCTGGGCTTGTGTGCACTGTAAATGTGATAGCTCTACAAAAGAACAAATACCTTAAAGCTGCTGTCAGGCTAGATTTGGATTGCCTGTAGTCACCAACATACTTTATAATTGGGTAGAATGTTATGATTTGACTCATTATGCAACTATCTCCATATAAGAAGGAAGTATTTCTCTCCTTGGGAGGAAATTAGGATGAGTCATAGCTGGGGCTGAACTGAATTAGACAAGCTGGTACCAAACAGTTGGATAGCAAAGGAAGAAATCCTGATTAGGACAGTATGTTACAGCATCTTGCTGACCTATAATGCACCTTTTTACACCACTGAATTTTCTTAGTACTTAGAGTTTTCAGAATGCCTTTGACATTTTAACCAGCAATGAAATGATTACCACCTCACAGTGTAACTTGCAAGCCCAGAGTAGCACTTAGGCTTTGTTTCCTTCCTCTGACAGCATCTGAGATGCATTAACCAGGACTTGGTTAAATAACAGCACATCATTATTGAACATTACCCATTGGGAAACTGAAAGTGAATGCTTACAGGCTTTAGAAAGTGACTTGGGGTTATTGGTGGGGGTACAGATTTGTGGGAAGCTGCAGCATGAAGGACAGCAGGGTTTTAATACACTCACCATGTTACATGAAGAAGGGAGCCCTTAATTTTACATGTAGAAGAGATTAGAAACACGATTTCATACTTTAGTTAGCATGAAAGGGAAGCATGACATGAACAGAACTTTATAGTCTCTTTCCAGCTCTCTTTTTTCCTTTTCTCAAGAGCATTTAAAGGGAAAAATACCAGGGCATCCTAAAGCACTGATCTGTGAACAGCACTCAGTGTGCTGCTGTTTCAGCTCTCCTGAACAGGGCTCTGCAATACCCATCCATCAGGGCTATAAAAGATTCATTCACTGTCCTGCTTGGTTTGAATCTATTTTAAACATTTAGAGACCTAGTTACATGCCCTGTAAAACTTCACAAATCATAGGGTTTGGGAATGTTTGTAGTGAAGTACATGCCTTTTCCACTCAGGATGGCTATTCTTCAGCTACAGATTACCACGAGAAGCATTTCAGTGGCATGAAAACCTTCTGGGAAGGGGTGTGTGTAGTCATTTCCATGCCTATTTATTATTCCTTACTTTGTTATATTTACTCCTCACTATTTTTTATTTTGCTAACATCCTGCCATTCTCTTTCCTGCTCTGTTTCCAAGGCCCAAGTCTGCAGGCAGGCACATTCTGCTGATGGGCAAAGGTTGCCGTGATCAGCAAAAATAATCAGCACTGGTTTGTGATAAGAGAAAGTCAGTAAATCAGCTTCCTCTAGTTCTGCTTTGCCAGAAGTAGCATTCTGTTTTATGGTGCTGCAGCAGAACTGGAAGGCTGCACATCCACCAGGTGTGTCCAGACCCCTAACTCCATTCTGCTCTCTCAGAATACACAGGTCCCATCTGTGGTTTCATCCTCCACAGGTAATTCAGCTTTCTGTTTGTGTAGCTAAAACATTGAAACCCCTCCCATTTGGATGGAGATTGACCCCTAAAATCTAATACCTTTTAATGAGAAACTTTTCTTGAAAATGGTCCTATATCAAGAGGATATAAAGGTATGGGAAAGGATTACTCTATCATTACGTGTAAGACAGACACATTGGGGTACTTACCCATTTCGGGACTGTGGGCTCACAGCTTCAAAATCCCCTCTCTCTTCCTGGTGTGAGTAGATCACACTTGAAGGGTAATCTTGATTATCCTCCTTGAGCCCTTCTGCCTCCCAATAACCTTCTTCCTTGTGTGATAGAGGAGTCCTCTGAGGGTAGGCAGAGGTGTCATAAATTCGTTGCTTTGAGCTGTGCACTGGACCATCATGATGCCGATGATGGGCTGAGTGTTCAACTAGGTTTGCCAATCCTATTGTATTACAGACAAGCAAAAGCTTCACTAGCATCCTGGGTTTTTTTCTCACCCAGTTACACCTGTCTCTTGTTCTTTTCTCTGCAGCTCAGCCTGAATTACTTCAGAAATGCCCTCGCAATATTCTTTAACTGGAAAGTTGGAAGAAGGAAGGCAAAAAAAAAAAAAATTATAACAAAGAGCGGAAAGAGCTTTCGACCCTCCCAGCTACTGTGGAAACGTCCGTGGCTATTGAACAATGTGAGCCTGGTTCCTGTGTGGGGCTCAGACGTCTCTGACAGGAGGGGAAAAAAGGTGGTAGGGATATAGCTTATTCAAGGAACTTCTGAGCTCGGCTGCCTTCTAAACTTATCTGTGAACAGGAACTCAGCTTTTATCAACTGCCTTCTCCCTCAGGCACAGGAAAAGGATGTTAGCTTAAAGGAAAGGAAGAGAAAAGAAAGGAAAGAAAATATTGAGTGGTGTAGCAGATTCATTATGATGCCAGAAAATGTCAGACCTGCTTGCTCCAGTGCTGCACATGGAGGTTTTTTTATACAATTTAAAGGCTGAAATACTTTGGCTTTAATAGCAGAATATTCATGGTATGTAGAACAAATTATGGACATTGAGGGACTCTGAGGAAATACACAGTGAAAAAGAGTTTACAGACATCCATTTTTGTGTGGCCTTTGCAAAGCAGCTCTGTAAATCACACTCTGATTCCATCAAAGTGGAAGATTTTCATGAAATTGTCCTTCAGAGAGGTCAGGGTAACTGAGCATTTTTAAGAATTTCTGTTTGGGTTCTGAATCTCAGGCCTATTTTTGTGGATGTGTGCATTTTTACTTAGTGTTACACAAAAACCCCACTTGGCAAGAGCTGCAGTCAAGAGCTACCTCCATCACCACATCCTAACAACAAATTAATAGAAAGGCTGTGGAGGTTGGATGTACTTTTATTGCCTTTTTTCTCTACTTGATGGTGCTGCTTTTAGTTTTGTTGCTTTCCTAAACTGTATTTCTTTTGTTTGTTGTCTTGCAGGGTGATGTATTCTGGCATTTTTAAGAATAACAGGAGAGAAAATGATGCTCCACTGCCAAAACAAGTGGGAATGCTAGTGCAGGACTGCTAGATCGTCTCTTGTTTTGAATGATGAGATGTGCAGCCCAAAGTTCAGAATGTCTTGCAGAGCATTAAATGTAAAGCTTTTATGGATTCATTCCAATACCAGCTGAAAATAGAGGACGAAATCTCTCCAGGATTTTGGAAGGCCTTGTTATTAAAGGCTGTGAATTTTCATCTCCTTAGCACTGGTTGGATCTGCACCCCACTCCTTCTGACTGACCCTATTTTATGCTTAATGGAAGAACCTCTAGGTTTCTTTAGAAACACAGAAATGCCCTGACTGGCACTGCTGTGCCAGAGCAATTAAGCACTAGGATGGTGACAGTGGCACATGGGGCCAGGCAAAGAGAGATTTTGATAATTTTAAGGGCAAAATCTGTTCTTGCTGTAGCAGTTAATTCTCCAGGAAGATGAAATCACAAAGTCTGGACTGAAGACGGAAAAAAATTAGCAACTTCCTTCTGTTCCTTCCTGCTGCTTTTATTTCAGAATTGTGTGCATCCTGCTATAATACATGTCCATGTGTGGGTATTTCATGTGCCATGTTTCACATACAAATGTGCCTCTTATAAGTAACTGGATGTGACCTAAGCATTATGTTTGTTTACGTAATAAGACCATTATCAGGAAGGAACTGAAACAAACATGAGATAAAACAAACAACAGGCTTATAATCTGAACTGCCGTGAGATCCTGGCTTGCAGAAAAGTGATTTTGTGCTACAGATATTGAAGTTGTTCCACCTGTAATGTACTTCCAAACCCTTTGGACTTGTCTTTCAATATATACCTTTCCACTTACTCTTAACTCATCCATTAAATCGTTACTCTTCATGGATGTGATACCACCCAAGAGGTGGGGCAATGTTTCTCTGCCATCCTCCTGGCTCATCCTACTGCTGCTCCTTCAAGTGCCAGAACCCATTCTCTGTGCCTTTGTCCTGGTGCTGCCCTATGAGTGCAGCAGGCACAGATTGTTCAGCCTTTTGCAAGTTAATAATTCAGCATGAGTTTTTGGTAGCAGTTATGAAAGATGCTAAAATATGAAGTGTGCTGGGGGCTGACAGCTCTTTTCTTGTGATAGGCATAGCATAGCCATAAACATATGGAAGGCTTCAATTATTCCAAGTATCTTCCTTACTGAACACTAGTTAAGGTTTTTGCTTAATAGCCATTCTGACTTGGGATGTTGAGGTTATACCGTTGGTCCCTAACATTAGATTTGTTGACAGACTGAGCTGTAAATTTTCTTGCTTTTACATCTGTAGAGGAACAGGCATGAAGTGTGTACCTGCTTAATAATGAGATACACTATAAGTTTGTCCTTTTTTTTTTTTCAGCTGGTGCCTCAGCATGGAACCAGGGGAAACAGACATACAAGGTCATTTGCTGTAACAATTTGCTCATGGCTTTTTTAGGTCAACCTCTTCTAGGAGGTCCTTTCTAGATGAGAAAGGCAACTAGGCAGCAACTAATATCAATGGCTATCTAGTCACTTTTTAGTTGCCTTAGTTTAGTGTTGGTGTACCTTACAAAGCTGGGTACCACTGCTGGAATGAGAGAAATGGGGGAGATAAATTAAATTTAAAACATAGTATGGGAAATTACTTGAAAATAAGTGTTACTCCAAAAGCATACTTGAAACCCTAACAATGTGATAGTAATAGTGCTGTGGAGATGTTTGGAGCTGCCCTGATACTTCTCAGAAGTTTCTAGCAGTTCTCAGCTAGTCAAAGATGTTGTCCCTCCACTCTTGGTCCAGTCATTAGTGACTTTTTTTTTTCTTATGCCCTTATTCATGAAAATACATTTCCCCAAGTATTTCTGGGTAGTACTCCCTTAAAATGTTCAAACTAGTCTTCAGACTCCAAACTAGTCCTTCAAGAGTTGATATTGCCAGTTACAACTGATTGATCAGTATGCCCTGGGATATTGCTGGTAACTGTCAGAACTGCTCTTGCCTTGCCTGGTAATTATAACCATTTCCATTAAACACAGCTCTTAACCCCCTCTGATGTTGCCCACCACGAGAATTCAGTGTCCTGTGTGCAATTCCATAATCGAGTTATCAAATGCCAGCACTGTCCTCTGGATAATCTGCTTAAGATGCAAAATCTCATCTTGGCCCCTTTCTGTTTGTTTGGAGCTGGAGTCCTGCAGCTCTGGGAGGTGAGTGACCACACAGTAAACTGTGCCAAACAATATGTTTGATAAATGGCTTCTACGATAAATGACTGGTACGTACTTGGAAAGCAAATGCATTGGCTATTCCAGTCAGTGGGTCTCTGGAGAAAGAGCCCCTAGAAATTTAATTTTCAATGAATAGATTCAGGTCATTTTATTTGTTTCTTTTGTGTCTTTTTATGTCTTTTGCTGTCTATTCTGTAACGCTCTTAATTATGGACTTATATTATGAATCTGTGCATTTAAAAGGAAAAAAAAACCCACCAAACTTGGAAAAATGTTTAAAAAGCCAAGAAATCTGGAATCATTTTAATAAATGTTGCTTTAGATTCATATAGCCCAGCTCCAATCTCTGAAGCAGACTGAATAACTGAAAGGATTTTGTGTCTGGGAAGATGAGTAGGACAGTTTTGTTGATAGCTGCACAGCAAGGGGATAACTTCTCATCAGGCACTGGGTTTTAGATCTGGAAAATGCTGTCTCATTCCTTGCCTGCTGCTGGCTGTGTGCTTGTGTGTGTGCAGCTGCTCTGGGGATGGGGAACATGGGCAGAGGAGTGTTGGGAGGGAGGCTGCTGGGCTAGGGAGCAATTCTTCACTGCTCGGTCCATCAGAGGAAGATGGATTTTTGTTGCCTATATTTTTAATAGTTTGCTCAAAAGCTATCAGTGGTGTTCAACAGCAGAGCTCAGTCACGAAACACTGCTGTAGTGACAGTGCTCTGCATGTGTGCCTGAAAAACGGCTCCTCCCTGGGCTATTCATTCCCTGGCAGAGGAAATTAACTCATTAACTATGCAGATGTACATGCAGGGATTCAAGTCCTAAACTGTTTGCCAAGAGGATGTCAGACAACTGCTTGTTTTTGTTAGGGCACAAAAATGAATGATCTGAGACAGTTCTTCTTTCTGCATTTTGAATTTTTCATAAGTGGAAAGGAAGGATTTCTGTTTATATAGAGCAAGGTTTGATCCTGTTGATGTTAATATTATTCTTCATACAAAAAACTTCCTGAACAAAGGATATTTAGCAGCCACAAAAGCAGTCTGTCTTTCCTTTCCTTACCTGTCTTTCAAACCAACATCAGACACCATTTAAATACTTAAATAGACTATGACCAAATCCCACTCCTTTCATCCAGCAAGATGACTTTGTCAGCTGTTAGTCTCCAGCAAAATTCATTGTTAAAGGACAAGGTTAAGGCTTTGTGTGGAACAGCTTGCAACTGGGAAACGTCAAGAAGGAAGAGATGCAAATTAAGCAAAATCCTGTTTTAATCTGCTGCAGACATAAAGAAAAAGACAGTAGAGGACAGGAAGTCTTATTTTCTGCTTTGCATTCTTTTCTTTCCCTTGCATCTCTGCTCTGGGAATAAGTAGACTTGAGTTAGAATTATCTTGCCCATATTCTGGAATTGCTGACAGGAGTTGAACAGCATGACTTCCAGATATTAGCCACCAATACCCAGAGAGAAGTGTAGGTGTGTGAGAGATTGGGAACTACTCCTTTCAAAGACCTTCAAGAAACTATGATGTTATGCAGCAAGAGGCCCAATGGCCAAACCTGAACAGCCAGAACTCAGACTTTAAATAAACAGCAATTGGATGGTTTGTCATTGCACAGGTCAAGACAAGGCTTTCTTTTGCTATTATACAGACCAACTAAATAGTTTTGAGACAAAAAATTGTTTACAGTGATATGAATTATACTCCATAGAAAACAGAAAAAGAAGAAGCTTAGTATCTAGCTTAACTTGCTTCTCCCCAGTGCCACAAGGCAGATAACAGAGAGAAAGTGGTTGCTGCCAGGTGAGATAGAAACTTGGGTTCTCTGAATTGCCTACTGGAGGACATTATCTTCAGCTGCTGATTATATTATCTGACACAAGGGGAAAACTTACCAGGCACAAAGGTGAAACCCTAGCAAAATCTTAAAGCCAAGGTTGTTTAACTTAACACTTGTTGTTAGGTTTACCTGAGGCAGGATTGACAACAAAACCAGGACTGAATCCTCTGCTGAGAGTACAAATAGGGTACTGCAGTTGCCTTGAGGGGGCAAACATTCGGGAGCCGTTGTGAATACTTGCCCTATATAAATCACCTACAGTGTTGTCTTGAGTCCAGAGCTTTCCTAAAAAGGTTTCAAGGTAAAACAATGCCTGTGCAAACTGCCTGCTGCCTTGGGAAGGATCCAATGGCATCTAAACGCCTCTTGTGAGCCCTTTCTGGAGGTCATCGGGAGAGCAGAAGGCAGGAAAGGAGTATCCCACTGGAGTCCTGGCTAATTCAATCTGGTGATGATTCATGTTTCATATCCCAGGTTAGCTTGATATTTCATGTATTTGTTACCTTTTATAGCAATGCAAAATATGTAGACTTCAATTGTATAAATCACAATGACAGAACAATAGCTTAATGAAGTCAAAATACACTTCTCGCTCTGCCTTATCAACCTTGGTGTTCCCCTGAAAATACCAGTAAAGCCCATAACCCTGTGAGCTCTGTGTTCTGCTTTAATGGTCCTTGAAAACCTGATGAAAAAGTAAATGGGCCTTGTAGCAATTCCCAAAGATGGCAAATTCGGGTTTTTTGCCAAATATAATTAAAAACAAGACTCCTGGCCTGTGGCTGATGAAATCAATGGCAGTTTTGTGCCTGGCTCTAAGAGCAGCTAGGTTAAGCCACTGGTTGTACAGCATGGTAAGACACAGATATCTTCAATTTAATGGTACCCTGGAAGCAGAAATGAGCATCAGCCACCTAAGGGGAATTTGGAAGATGGCACAAAAAACCTTTTTTCACTCCTTGCTGCAACAGTCTAGAACAATGTGAGCTCCTCTGATAATTGCTATGTTGTGCTGGCCTTCCTCTGAATCTTGCACTTTTTTTAATTAATAAATGATAAATTCATTAGTCTGTCAGAGATTGGCTCCTTTACATTCAAGTGGAAATTTGTTCTTCATTTATAAGTAAGGAGACTTATTCGTGAGGAAAAGATTGGGAAAAAAAAAGTTATTTTCCAGATCAACAGTTTTTCAATAGTTTCAGTATGGACTAAAAAACCACTGCCAAAATCTTAAAACTATTCCTAGTTTGGCAGTAAGAATTATGTTTGTGTACATGTCTGCATGTATATACAGATAGGCCATTTTTTTATTCAGCTGTTTTTCTTTTCTGTGCAGTCATTCCCCATCTGACACTTCTAGGCTGATAACTTGTGGCAGCAGTGGCTTAGGGACCACTGCACGTCATGATGTTATTATGGTGTGCTACCCTCACATAATGCAGCTCAGCCTCTAAGTTCCATATTCTCTTTTCCTGGTGAAGAAAAGCAGCCAAACTGGATTGGACTCAGAGGCTGATGCTTTGTGGTTTCCACAGTTTCAGATACAGCACTATAAAAAAATAATAAATTAAAAATCACCTTGCTGCACCAGCAATTGCTTTCATGGGTGCTAGCACTGAATTTCATTTTGCCAGTGGGGCAGCAGCTGATATGAACCACTTGGGGTCTACTTGAGAAAACAATTTAACTTGAGTGTACCGGTAAACACATTAGGATATCCAACCATTAATGATCATGTTTTGCTATTTTTTCCTAGCGAGGCCTTGAGGCTGGATGGATCCTCTATGCAAACTGTGGGATTTCCCCAATCAGTTGTCTGCAGGATGTTTTCTCTGCAGCACAGGCCTCTGACATGAGTGATGGTGTCACTCTGTGACGATGGGGTGCAGCTCTGTCTACAGCAGCTCAGAGAAACAAACAGGGAAAAGGATTTCCCCCCAACAGGCATTTGCTTTTTCAGATATCAACTGTTGGTATAGGGTGCACACCTGAGCAAACCCCTATATACTGAATGCCCTCAGGTTTGACAAACATGGCAAGCAGGAACTAGCTCCCCTCACCTGAGCACCAAGCTGTAGTTCATTCTCTTTTTCTCTCAGTCTTTGCCAGAAATAATGTACTTGTTACCATTTCATGCAGGGTGGGTTCTGGTAACTGCCAGACCAAGAAACCTTGACCCTGTTTGTTTGCTACAGACGCTGCTAGTTTTACAAGCTCTCCACCCTCTGGGAACCCAGGAGAGCTGGTGTTTGGCTCCTGTTGCAGCCTCAGGAAGATGCCCTTTCAGGAACTCAGCTCTTCAGATAAAAAGTCTCCCTCTTGACATGAGAGCATCCTTGAGTGAGAGCATTGCAGCATATGTTAAAAGCTCTGTCTGGAAATTTTCCAGACAGTCCCTTACCTACTGCTGTCATCGTCCTCCTCTCCCCCTCCCTTCTTAAACCTTCCCAAGCAGATCCATATCATTAATATTTCAGTATCAGCTGTACACAGGCATTGGCTACACTGCAGCACACTTCATCAATAAGAGCCAGGGAAGGCTGTGAGGTTTGCCACACTGCCTTCATCCAGCGGAGGAGTAACAGCAAAGGCAGAGCCTGGCAGAGAAACAGAGGATCCACAGAGGGTAAGGCTGCATCTTGCAGCCTCAGCCTTGAGGGGCTTTTTGCTGCTGTCCCTCCTTCAGATCGTTCAAGTTAATACCCTAACAAGCAACAAGAATGGATGTCTTTAAGAAAGGTTTTTCCATTGCTAAAGAAGGTGTGGTGGCTGCTGCAGAAAAGACCAAGCAGGGAGTGACCGAAGCTGCAGAGAAGACTAAAGAAGGGGTAATGTATGTAGGTAAGAGAGAACTAGTTTCAATCTTCATTTCAGCATGAGCAGCTGCATAGATTGTCTCTGAGAAAGTCTGGGGAAATTCTGTTTTGGCTGAAGCTTGGGACTGAATGTCAGGAGGTCTGAATAACATCCTCAGCTCAATGCAGAGTTGCTGTGTCAGCCTGGGGTGCCACAGACTCCTCGTGCCTCAGTTTCCCCAAATGGAAATTAGACATAGAAACCACCACTGTTTCTGGGGAGGCAGAATGAGTGCAATGTTTAGGAGCAGATGCTCAGGTATAAGGTTTCTGTTAGACTATTCACTGATTGTTTGCAGGTGAGTCTGACACTCTCCAAGCATCTGAGCACTGCTCTCTGCCTCACCTCCACGCTGAGGAGGTCCCTGAGAGGAGCCAACAGTGTTAGTAAGAGGGGATTGCAGGATACATCTGTTTCCCCACAAACAAACTGTTTTATCCTGAAATCCTTATCTTGTTCACCAACCTATTTCATTGCCAGTACACACATCAATCTTGCTTTACAAGAGACACCCAAATTCATTTTGCCCAGAGGATAGGATCTGGAAAACAGCATGCCCCATGTCCTGCCCAGAGACCTCTCTCACAGTTAATGGGCTGTTTCAGAAACCTCCCCTGTCAAGGTCACCCTCAAAAACTACTATCTCCACTATCTAGCACATGCAGTTATATGGCTGGATGGTCAGATAGTTCAGATAATACAAAATCTACAGAGTCTTAGGTTCCCAAGACTGATTACCTCGTTGCTGATTACTGCACTTCACACAGCTTTTTGCTAGATGTGAGAGAGAGGGTTTGCTTTTTTTAGTAGGAAAGTTTACATGTAGGCTCTTCCTGCTATCATACTGCAACATCCACAGCTGTACTTGTCTGCTATATTTCAAACAGCTCTATTGACAATAGCCACAGATTTATATTTGTACATTACAAATCAAATATAAAATTTGTATGTAGCAGGTCTGGTATTGTTTTCATCCTGAATTTTTAAATACTTCACTAATGGCATGCTAGAAATGTATGGATGTAGCAGTTCACATTTCAGTTTGAAGCTGACTTGCAAGAAAAAAAGGTAAGCAGTATTCCTGTAAACAATTAAACTAATCACAGTAACTTCAACACCTGCCTGTGAAATGTCACAGATGGGTGTCATATTGTGGCATCACTACTGCTCCACCTGCTTTCAGTTTTGAGTCATGTCAGGGTTATTTGGACTTTTTATATGCAATTCCTCACATCTCTGTTCAGTCACGTTGTACTCCTCCATACTGCAACCTGATTTTCATTGTTGCACAGCCATCAGGTACAGAGTCTGTTTGTGAGATTCTAACCTGTTCTACAAGCCTTAAAACCTAAATCTCTGAATGAGGATCAAATAAGGATCAAGAGGAAGACTGAGTGCTTTCTGCTTTTATTGGTTTGCTTTGGTTTGTTAGCATACTGCTAGTCCCTGCCCTGTCATGCACTGAACAGTGCTTTGCTTTGGGCTGATTCAGTTCCTGTTGCACACTGGGGGAAGTTCAGCCCTTTGGGGAAAATATAGTCTTTCACAGACAGGAAAAGTAAAGGCCAGATGCTGATTAGCTCCGAGAATTGGGTTTTTAATACCCAGAGAAGGTGGAGGCCCAGTATATCAATTAAAACTGGGAGGATTAGTATGTTTTTCACACTGCCTTTTCTCACTCTGTGACACATGAAGGGTTAATCAGAGGCCTGAACTGTTTCTTCTGTACTTCTTCCTTTGCAGAGCCCTATCCCAGTGGCTTCATTTAGAGCATTATGTGACAAAACCTGAATTTTTGGATGCTAGGAGAAAATAATTCTGTATCAAAGATTGAGGGTCTTTTCAAAACATCAGGAAAGGGAGGAAAAGCCCCAAAACCTAGGATGGAAGAAGTGGATCCCTGACTTTTATTCAGCTTTGTGTTTACTTATTTCTGAGTCTCCAAGGAGGATTCCAGATGTCTAGGCACAACCACCACATCTGGTGAGTCACTTGCTGCCTCCCAGGAGAAGAAAATAATGGTCATTCACAGGAATCTTCCTGGAGCAAACAGAGTCATTGGGGCACTGTGGCCACGTTCTCCCTCCCCTCTGATCCATGCAGGGTCAGGTCCCACAGCCCATGCCAGTGCAGAGATGCCTCCCTCCTGTGCCTGCACCGCAATGCGGTTCATAGATGGGCTGGTTCGAGCTGCTGCCATTGCATGGGCTGCTCCTGCCGCACCACGCGGCTTGATGAACAGGTAGGGTAGAGAAAAGGGTCCAGAAAGAGAGAGAGAGAGAAATCCTGTAGCATGGGACACCTTGGCACCTTGGGAAATCACAGTCAGCTCCCCAAATTTGAACAGCTTCTGAGTATACAAAAGTGGTGGGATCCCTGCATGGTTAGTGTGGATCCAGCAGTTAGTTCAATGGGTGGTCTTTTTTCATTTGGTTTAAACAAGGGGATAAGTGATGCTGAAGTTAATGAATGAAGTTAATGCAAAGCCACATCAGAGTATTAAGAGGGGATAAATGATGCTGAAGTTAATGAATGAAGTTTAATGCAAAGCCACATCAGAGTATTAATGTCATTAGTACTGTTTAATGCTGTAATTCAGGAAGCCTCAACAAAGAATACACTTCTCATTTTCCAGAATGACTCCTGACCACATGTGTCACAGAAACCCCCAACGCATCAACCTCTACTTAAAATAAGTGACTCCTGCACGTCATAATATCCCTTTCTACTCTAAACCTTCTCCCTCTGCACAGCAATCCACCACCTCGGTCCCACCCTTGCCATACCAAAGCTCTTACAGATGGCTCACAGCACTCAGAAGAGGCAGGATGCATGAACTTTTAATTCTGTGTACAGAAGCTGCAGGCAAGGACAAATGAGTGAAATGAGATTGAGCATCAGGTGATTGCTTTCTGATTCAACAGATGCAGGTTGCTGGCGAGAGCCTGTGCCGGAAGGTCAGGATTCATGCAGTGCATAATGGATGTGAGCCTGAGTCATTGGGTGGGGCTGGGCTGGGAAGATGAGCCAAGCTCTGCCCAGGCTGCAGCAGCGACTCTTCCCAATGTCATTGCTGCTTGCATGAAATATATTCGTTTGGGTGGGTTTTTTTTCTTCTACCTGCATCCCTCCTTTCTGGAATTATTTTCCATCAGCAAATATGGCACCCACCCACGCGGATTCGTTTGGGTGGTTTTTTTTTCTTCTACCTGCATCCCTCCTTTCTGGAATTATTTTCCATCAGCAAATATGGCACCCACCCACTCCCCTCTCCCTGTAAAAGAATTGAGCCCAGATAGTCATCTTAAAAGTCTGGTAAAAAAAAAACCAAAACAGAACTACAGCTCTTGTCTCACTAAACATTTTTACTGAAAAACTGGATTGCATGGAAAGCTAATACAGCAAATCATGTACTTTTCTTACCTGACAATTGCTGTTTGACCAAAAAACAGTAAAGAAGGGCTAAGCTTGAACATATGTGTCTGATATGAGACAATCTTGTATATCAAATCAATATTGTGGCAGTCTTTTATTGGAATGGCACTGGGAGGGAAACTGAAGCAGAATGGTGAGTGATTTGAACTGTGTGCATTTGGCCCCTTCAGGAGCTCACAACGATGGCTTGAGACTTGCACCTGCTCTGCACACTGCTGTGCTTCTGCATACATTTGTGTATCATGGGCATCAGTACTAAATCTGGTTCACAGCAATGCACACGTATCACATGCGTCACTAGGAACTGCAGTTTACAGCAATAACAACTATAAAGTACAAAGATTTCATCTCTGCAGTTTTAACACAGTTCAGGAGGGTGGAGTGAAATGTTGAGGGCATATTGTAGTAGAACAGTTTTGTTCTGCCTCAGGCAACCATTACAGCCCCTAAAATAAATCAACAATTGAGAATTAGATTCAATAATACATAACATGCATTGGGAGAACAGAAGTGGGCTGGGTCTGTTGTTATCAGAGAGCTGCACCTGTTTTGCTTTCCATGCTGTTAATGAGATCGAGATGTGGTTTGTAACTGGTTTCCCCCACCACTCCCATGGATGCTCCACTACCATGGAGTCAAAGATCTGCCTGGCTCTCTCTTCTACAACTTTGATTGGTGTCCATAAAAATCCTTTTGTTGTATCAGTATGGGAACCTTGAAGAGAACCTGTATAGGTGCAAATGATTTACAAAATACAGCAAAGTGTATTTGAACAGTGGAACATTTTGGCATGTGTTTATTTAGTTTCCAACAGGGATAAATGTATTCCTTTATTTTTGTAATGTGTAAAGCACCTACTTACCATGGGGGCTGCCCATCTACTGTGTGATTTAACATATCTGCTGCAGTATACAAGTAGAAGGGCAATATAACTCGTCACTTCAAGCGTGAAGGAAAATCACAGAGATTAATTATTCCTTAGGGCTATTTGTGTTGCAAACTGAATGCCTTCACATCCTGTTAGCTTTTCTGCCTTGAGAACAGTGAGATAAATTACAATGTAAGCATACATATGGTGTACTTTAATAATTGGGGATAAAACCATCTGCATTCTGTGTATTGCTGCAAGTAGGCACTTACAGCCTAGGCTGGGGCACACAAATGGGAATCTAGTAACTACATGTAGTAGATGGGTGGTTGTTCTGAAAATTTAGCCTCAAATCTCTCCAAAGTCTTTATTAGTGGTAGAGAATGAGACTTTAAATGACCATTGCAGCCAACTGTCCTGCTGA